ACTATGCCTAAAATGACCATGATGCAAAACCGGCCGGCGGTTCCGGTGAGTGCGGCGCAAGGCATAGCCCAGGGCGCGACCATCGTCAAGCTAGTGTCTGCGAACACCGTAGGAGGAAACAAGATCATTACCTTACCCTCAAATATGCTGCAGCTGAGTAAGCCGGGCGTCGGCGGAAAGCAGACAATTGTCATCACTAAGTCAGCGGGGCAGGCGACGCAGCCAGGCCAGTCGCAGTAAGCGCATTGCTGCTACTTTGTTATGTTAACATAGATATAATAAGAGTGATGAGATAGGACTATATACATTATATTTTAAATCGCATGAGTTTTTGTATGTTATTTCAGGGTGTCATTAAAGAGTTTATTGACACATTTTTATTTACTCTGATATTTTACATTGGATGTGCATGTGGTGCAACACACAACTTACCGTGCAGTGGTCAGCTGGTGGGGCCAGACAAAGGACCACCTTGCATTTCTCAGCATGTCATGTCTTGTTTGACACCTCTGTCAACCTAAATGAGGTAAACTTTTCATACTTTGTGTAATGTAACAAACAATTGTATAAATTATTAAAACTTAACATTATTTGTTATTAAAACATCATAATAGCCATTATCATGTTTGTAATACAATATTTATAAATTATGTACAACTGTTCTTTTTTCTGATATCCTTAGTTATTGTTGATTTCTTTTTTGTGTGATTTATTGGTTCTTTTGCATGGTGTTATCCCGTTGTGATAACACTTGTATTCATAGAGCTCAGGGGGTAGGGGGTGACAATATGGTTGTACAAGTGTTCACAACTGTTGATATGTTTTGGTACTGGCTAGAATGAATGTAGTGATTGTGTGAATCAACTGAAGTAATATGTAAAGGATTTCCCTGGTTTGGTCGGCTGCTGTAATGCAGGCACAAAGTGAACCTGTTAAACAAATGCAGCCCTTAAACTGCTCCATTAGCTTTAGTTAAATCATATAATTTAATATGCATTGTATAAGTTTGATCACAAACAACAATTTGTGAGGCTGCAAGCCGGCCAGCTCCTGCCCGAGGCACACCACCAGCAATGCAACTCCATTGCTCTGAAGCGGGACACATGTTAATAGTAGTAGTATTGAAAATAATAATTATTTGGTTTATAATAATAATATGGTTGTTTTATATGTGATGCATTTGGTTCAATGAAGCTGTGTTGAAGCACAAGGTGAAATGTTGTCGGTAGGCTTAGTGATGGCAAGATGTCTTCAAGCAGTGTTCAAAGTGCTGAATGCAGAGTTATGCAAATTATTAGGTACATTTACCTTTATATTATGTATGTTATAATTATGACAGTTTTATAAGAAAGGATTTTCTGTTGAGATAATTATATATCAATAACTGTAAGAAATAATTAACACATAAAAATGCAGAATATTTTTTGGTACAAAGAAGTATTTCAGCTGTTGGTCATTGGTATACTTGTGTGAAATGTATTCTGCATTTGTTGTACTGTAGAGTAATTGAATAGGTTATAATAGGCTAGGTAAGCTAAGTGAGGATGTGGATTGTAAATATCATAAGTAGATAAATTTAATGTTATACTTTGTTCATATTATGTTAATTTGCTTGAATAAAAAAGATTTGGATAAGAAGTTTTTTATTGTTCACTAACTTGCGGATCAGCGAGTAATTATGTTTTAACTACGAATATTCAATTCAATTTAAATGTGCCGCATTTCAAAACTTTCGGCTGCCAGTTGTTCCACAGACATCCCTTAGTTTGTACGTCCGCAATCATTAACTATAATAAGAATCCTAACAACAATTAACTATAATAAGAAAAAATAAAAATATATAAGGAAAAAGGAATAGGCAATATGACGCCAAAATGGACCAAGATTTTTTTAAGTATACTTTATTACTATAAAAAAATAAAGTTTTTTTTTTTAATGTAATGGTGTTTTATAGTTTGTCTAAATAAGATATATTAGTTTGATAAATGACGCATATGAAGTATGGAATATAATTTGTATGAAGGAAAATGCCTTACTTAATAGACAGGTATCGTAGTGACGAAACAAACACGCAGCGAACAATTGTGAACTATCGATGTTCAGTTTAAATAATTATCGAACTCCACTATTTTTTTTTCTATTAACTATTGTAGAGGACAATTCTAGTATTGATTACAGCGTAGAGAATTTAGCGATGACAGAAATAATAGCGAAATCCAATTCGATTACGTACGGCTGTAGTAGTAATAAAGATTTATTTACTCTCATTATGTGTAATCTATCAATTCCATCTTTTATAAAATAAAAATCGGAAATCGATAAGATTCATGAGTGAATTTACACAACCCATCCCTATTAAATTTGAAATGAATTGTCAAACTAAACTATTTAAACATAATCTATTTTATTTAGACAAACTATAGTAGCGAAAAATCATTAAAAGTGTCTTTTTTTTTCAATTCCCTCGCAAGTTTTTAAACGCAACGCTATTGGTCCATAGGTGTTCTGGCACCCAGCAATTTTTGTATATTATTTTAATGTTTTGCTTGAAAAAAAGTGATGGAATTGGGAGATATTTATATTGCGATGAAAAAGTGAGGAGGTCCATTCAGTGGTGTAGAGAGGGGGGGGGGCAAAGGGGGATATCTTGCCCTGGGCGCAGCTCTAAGGGGGCGCAAAATGGTCCACGAAAAAAGTCTAAATCACTTTATCTTATCGTCAATTCGAGGGAGGATTTGCCAGCAGGGTTTAGAGGAGGTTGGAGCCTGGACGAATAATTGTAGGGGGCGGCAACATTCTTTTACAGGAATAAAAAATAAGTAAAAACCTACGTCCGCAATCGCTGCTTGCGCAGTCGCTTGGCGGCTGTCAAGCGACAAACGCTTTAAAAGAATCCTGTTATATTCACACAATATTCAAAATGCAACACTGCTCTGTATCAAAAAGCGGCCCGTTTTAAAAGGCAACCAAATAAACAATTACATTGAAATACAATTTTTTGATATAAACTAAGGAAATTTAATAAAATGTGCCGCGAACCAACAATGCAGTGCCACCAATGCAGCGGTAGAGGAAGGTATGGGAAAAGTCGCCTACATCCTCGCACTTCAAAGTGAAGAAGCTCCTTAAATGTTCTGTGATCTATTTCTTAGGATTGATAAAATTAATAATACACACATTTACATTTCAATTTATAAAAACTAAAATTGTTTTGAATTAATACAGTTTGTTTTTATACACTAATTGGCATAAAATGGCATTAAACGATGAGTTGAGTGCAAATTAAATGAAAATCGGTTAAAACATTTCTGAGATTAGCGCCAACAAACACACAGACAAAGTGACAAAACTTAAACTCCTTTGCGAATCAGCTTAACTTAAATATGTAAATTAATTAATTTGCGAGTATATTTTAGATGTAAAAATCATATGGTTTTATCATAGGGGGGATAAAATGGAATTGTGCCCCGGGCGCGAGGTAAGCTCGCTACGCCACTGGGTCCATTAAGTACATTTGAAAACATGAATCACTTGTATCTGTTGTAACTATGGAGGTAATAAGTACTACGTACAACAAGAGTGTGTTCTATCTGTACATCTTGCAGTCAAAATAAACTATAAACCTTATGCGAAGGGCGTAAGAGTCTTGTTGTGCGCAAAATAAAATCAAAACGAGTGAGAGGGCTACAAGTGTCCCATATTTCCCTTTCTAACAGTGACTTAGAGTTGCCATATATTAATCCCTGCGTTGTTTGTAGAAAAATCGACATTTATTACCGACACGTTAAAGCAATAGTGTTGCGATTTGCGTACAGGTTTTCTTTTATTTGTTTAAAATTCGGACACCTGAACAGGCAATCCCATATGACATCCCGACTCGGACGTTAATGGCGGAGGCTTTTTTGATTTCGTGATTTTTT